ACAAGTATTTCTGAAAAAGAAATCATTTTAGAACTTTTGTTTAAAGAATCTTGAAATTCATCAATTTGTATAATAAGTATAATACATGTTTTTTAAAGAATAATATCAGTAACATACAAAAACATGAAAAAAAAAACAAAGCTCGTTTGATCCATTGGCTTAGATGAGTTGGAGATATGCTGAACAACAAATATAGCATAAAAAGTACATTGTATCTAAATGTGAGACAGAAAAAACCTAGCCTAACTCTCTTCAAACCAGAGAAAGAGAGAGAGAGATTCAGAAAACACAAGTTAAGGTTCTATATTAATTAAGACTGAACACATATCAAGCGAAAAAATGTGGATAAATACTGAAAGGAAGAAGAAACGCAGGGTAGCATAATTTTCGCAGAAAAAATTGACCGCATGACCGAAAATTATGAAAATTGGTCAGATGAGAAATTTACTTACTTTGCTCCAAAATCGGTGTTCAGAATTACTCGACCGTAAAATGTATGACGTCACGTAGGGAAAAGACTAAAAAGCAAAAAACACGTGTAGTTTGATGACGACGATTTCGTCAACAAATTATTGCACCATTTGATGCACCTGAGGTAAACACATTATTTTTCAATATTTCGAGACGATATGAATTTCTTGCAATCTTGGTACAGTTTACGAAAGTTCCATGGGGTCTGGTTTTCGAATTGCCTTTAATTAATGAAAAAGGCAACAGCTGGTAAGTAAGCAGTTTCTTGTAAATTTCCCCCATAAAACTTGTTACCTGTTGTCAGAGAGGGTCTCAGATGGGTTTCAATCAACCGTGACGATGATGTTAATGCGAAACAAAGTCATGTTACGAGCGGATTATTCGTCTTACCGTCTCTTAAATCGCCACCTTACTACCACAAAAACCGCCTTTTAAACAGAAGACTATGATAACCATTACATTCACTCGAAAAATGAAAGAAAACAATTCAGCATTTTATTTTTTTGAGCCGATCAACTTACTGTTGTGTTCCTCACACTGGTGCATGCTCGCGTGGTATTTTTGCGTTGTCACACATGCCCAATATAGTCAGGGTTTGAAAGGTAAACACTCTTATGAATTCCATGCAAAGGAGAAATAAGGCTCATGACAGATGCGCGGTAGAGACATTGAAGATAATGCGAGTTTTCGATATTCCCTTTTGGGGGGTATCGTCATATGGGCTTCAATAACTCATGAATTATTTGACAAAATCAAATGGGATTTCGGTTATATCTTTCTGAAAGATGATTTTAAAAGTTAGATAGGAATACTGAAAAAAATTAAAAGAAAAATAAATTTAATTCACCTCAAACGTTTACCCTGCGTATGTTTTTCCTTTCAGTATATATCTCTACTGTGAACATAATAATTCATTTATACATCAATGTCTATTTACATCTGGTCTTGTTCCATAAAAATGTTATTTATAAATGTTCCAATGTATGTATGAAATATAATTATATATGGCTATATATTCGATGGCAACAAATATTAAAAAAATTACAACTGGTCATAAAATGTGACCAATGTCCAACATAGTTTTATTTACATATACAGTCATGTATCTCACTTCTGATCACAACTCGCTATGTGAGCTTATTGATTTCTATGCTATATAGAAAGCTAAATTGTTTAACAAAAAAGGATTCGTTTTTTACTATCAATCCAGTAAATAAATAATTAATGGATTTTAAATGATATATATTTGTTCATCGTTTTCGGTTGTCGTAAACTCCTCCTTGAGTGTAGTAATAATCATCGCCGTCGATGTTTCCGGTGAACAGAGTTTGAAGTTCATCATGGATTTCTTCAAAGTTTGGACGCTTTCCGCTCTCATATTGCCAACATTTTTTCATGATTTTGTAGAAACTATAGCATGTTAAGTAAAATAAAATATTTTAGTGTCAAAATTCGTAACAGAAATTAAAATTCAGATTAGGAAACTATTTATATATTGGGATAAGCACCTTCATCAAAAATATAATTTCCATTGGTTTCTCAATGAATTAAAGATCATGAATGAGTTATTCAAAATGTGAAAAAACCAATTATAAACCATTTCTTTTTTTATCATTCATTAAAGAATACGCTAGCAATCTATCAAATAATTAGATAAATATCATACACATCATCGGATTGTTCCGGTTTCTTCAGTCGTTCGCCTCGTTTTAATTTAGATTCCAATTCATTACTCCTTATTCCTTCATACGGGGATTCGCCTTCAAAAAATCATAAAATTAAATCTTTACTTGACATTGAAATTTATTTTATTTTAAATTTCTTTTTAGTGTGAGAAAAAAATTTACCCATAGAGAATATTTCCCAGAGAAGCACACCATAAGACCAAACATCACTCTTTTCCGTGGCGTATTTTGTGGTTTTTATACACTCCGGTGCCATCCATTTAATAGGAATTCTCTCCTGAAGAGTGTGAATTGAAACTGTTTTATTTGATAATTTATAATAGGATATGACAGTATTAATTATAATTATTAACATGGAAAATCAAAAGAAGAATTATTTTAATCTGAACCTTATCGTTTCTAGCATATATTGAAAATGCAAAGGTAACATTTATGATCTTTTAAGCAGCAAAATTTTAACATCCTGAATACAAGGATGATTCAAATACAAGGAATTCAATTTTTTAAAGTCCATTTTAAACTTAAGTCTGTTTTCAAATCAAAAGAGTAAGTAAAGATTCAGAGGCGCAAGTACGTATAATCCGAACCTAATATCCACGATGCTTATTTCAAAAACATTTACTAAAGCAGTAATGAGGGAAAAACAAAATGCTAGTAATTTAAGCGTTTGTTTAAAAATGCCATACGTTGAGTCTTGAAAAAATATTTCGTTTTAGTAAAAATGATTCTTAAAGATGCGATCATCCCTTTAGGATTTTGTATTAACCGAAGATAAAAAAAAAATCATGTTTTGTATTTTGAAGTTTCATACGTTTTTGGAATCGCCATCATTATCCCGAGGCTCTGGACCAAATCCTGTGATTTTTGTTTCCATCAGGAACGTCAGCAAAATGTTTCTGGCCGCGAGACGTCTGTGTACAACCTAAATATTAAATTAACAAGAGGCAATGAATGGGCAAAGATTAAGAAGTAACCTATAATAAAATACTTGGAGATAATATACAGCATTCAACGTAAAACTTAAATAATACAAAATCAGGAGCAGCGCAAAAACAGACCTCTAAAATATTAGAGCAGGAATCCCATACATAACATACAAAAGTGTAAAGTTTATTCATTAGCGTAATATAATATCTAGGGGTTTATATTCAGCAAAATGACATTTAATTTCAGATACACAATAAATAAATGTCATCGTTAAGACAATGCATAAAATCAGTTTTGTCAAGTTACATTTTCCTAGTTCAACTAAACTGTTATTGCCCTCTCCTTTTTGAATTAAATAAAAACAAACCCCTTGAGAAGCTAGGTAGTTCATTCCTTTACAAATTCCACAGCCAAATCGGAACAGTTTCTCGTGCATGTCGTCGTTAACTCTATGTTTATTAGTCTTTAGATAGTCTTTCAAGGGCCCATTTTCACAGTACTCCAGTATCATAAATCTACCAACTATTAAACAAACAAACAAGTAATATAAAACAAATCATCACAGAACAAAACATAGTGGTGAAAATTAAATGTTATGATTCGGTATGATGTATATTTGATATTTACTTAACACCATCTTTGGAAAATTGTTTTTTTGCTGACGAAATAGGGTCGGACGCAAAATTTTTTCAATATTCCAGGGCACTATATGCTATTTTTTTCCTCCTATCTCGACAACAAATATGTTAACTTTCTTAAGAAAAAGAATTTTCCTCACGTACCAATAGACCCAGCAGTCATTTTACCATGTGTCCGTTTTACCACGTCCTAACCCACCAACAAATTTTATAAGACGGGAGACGGCAAGCAAATATTGGTTTAAAGATGGTCTAAGACGGTAAATTTTGTACTGCATGTATGTTTATACCAACACATAATCTGTATCCTAGTGCATGTCGGATTAGACAGGTTTCACTGTATGTTTGAGAACTTTATTTTATACTTACGGACGTCGTCATCAACGACTCCTATAAACTTCAGAACATTGGGATGTTCTCCAATCTTCATCGCATAGAAATTAACCTTAGCATGCATGGTCTCAATATCCGCTTGAGTTGGATTTTCTAAAAAATTAAAATTAAATTTTTATCAAAACTGAGATATGAGTTTTGGCTACATCTTATTTCGAACATCCCCATTCAAAATCGAACCTTTTAATGTTTTAGCTACGACAGTTGTTGAGGAATTATCTCTGCAATACTTGGCCTTGTAGATAATGGCGAATTTTCCTCTGGCAATCTCCTCCTCGAATGTAATTCTCGATCGGACTATTTGATACCTTAGAGGGGTCTCATTGTCAGCGTAGTATACGTCGTCGTCAAACTCCTGAGAGTAGGCACGATTCTGAAAATCAATACTCTAAAGTCAATTTCATCATTATCTTCTCAAGGCAAAAGTTTTCCTTATATGCTAAATATATTATATCAATTCTACTTTGAGTTTTTTGTAGGCTCTTTTATTTGATAAGTTTAAAAAGTTTTGAAAATGGAAAATTTCTTTTTGGATACTTCTATTTTCATGAAAATTTCCGCCTTGTTTTATTTTTGCCCTTTTCGCTTAAATTGTGAGAGGTTTGATATTTGTATTTAATTGGTTTAAATAAAATTGGTTTAATATATGCTTCTGTAATATTTATCAATGTACATGTACATATTTATCATTACTTATTCAAATGTTTTAGATAAAACAGGAACATACATTATAGCTCTTCGGAACACCAGTATTATTCAGTCTTTTCTCAACGTTTGACAGATTGTTGTCAATGTAGGTGTTAGACTTCGAAGGAAGTCTTTGCAGTCGCTCTGTTGGGTTTTTCATTTTTCTTCTTCTTACCATAATGATTATAAACAGTACTATGATGATTAATGCTAAAACACCGCCTGCAAATGAATAGGTAAATATTTTATTTAAAAAAAATAAGTCGATATGATGATCATCAGAAGACTAGTTACAGGTTAAACTTGATGCTGTCATGAGACAGTAATACCCGCACTAAGGTGTTTGCCTCCAAATACACACTCCTACATATTAGACTTTCCAAGGAAAAAGTCAATAATTCTATAATTTACACAGAACATGTATTTGTCAAATTGAGTATGAAATTCTCAGACCCTGTGACCATGTGTCCTATGACTCAGAACCTCTTATATGTATTTTACATGCTTAATTCATTACCAGTTTGAAAAAACAGAATTTAACTAATGATGTAAATTAGATTTTGAAAAATGTTTTGCTCATAATAGGAACTTTTAAAATGTACTAATGCCCCCCCCCTCCCCCCGACACCACAAACACACGGCACGTACGTTTTTTTTTAATAGGCTAGATGGAAAAGTTTTGTTAAAACATCGTTTGCTTTGAATTAATTTAAAATTTGTTCTTGTACTATGCATGTTTACATAAAAACACCTTTTGGAGAATTTTTACATCACATTGGGTTGCGTCACTCATTATCATATTTTTAGATTAAGCACCACTCGGCACACCTCGGCCGATTCCCACTTCATCTGAAAAGGCGACAGAATCAGCCAAAGTTTACCAAATGGGATTGCTCTTGCTGCAGTGTGGTGTTTATTGAAATTATTCATTTTGTGTTATAATTGGATGATATTTCGTGAAGTTGACAGGACCTATGACAGTTGGTAAGTACAAGTTTAAGTATAGATTGAGGTAAAAAAAAAACCGAAATGCGAATGATTAGGTTAAAGTTCAGAAAGAGTCAAAGATCATCGCATGTCACAGTGTGAAGTTATCTCCCGTTGTCGATATGACATTAACTGGTGCAGATCCAGAATTTTTTCGGGAAGGGGGAAGGGGGTTCACACCTCAGTCAAAAAAAATCCAGCCCAGAATTTCCTGACAAGCAAAGAAAAAAAAACTGAAAACAAATATACAAAATAAAAACAATGATAGTGGGGTCGTTGAGTCAATTTTTTCTAAGGGGGAGGATGTCCAAAGTCAAATTTATTTGCTTCAGAATATAGTCTTATTTAACATAGGCGTCAGAACCGGGGGGGGGGGTGGGGGCTAGGGGTGCTTAGCCCCTCCCCCCACTTTTTTTTCCAAAGATAGACTTAGTATAGACATTGAACAATGCAGTGTAGGTTTAGCCCCCCCCCCACTTTCCACAGACACGTTGCAGTATAGGTTTAAAATGGAAAAGTGGTGGTGTTTTGAAAAAAAAATTCGGTACTGATTTCGTGTTTGGACATTTCTCTTTTTTGGCTTGTCAGGTTTTTTTTAATGTCTAAAATAAAAATTTCTTAGACTTAGCTCCCCCACTCTCAATTTGCTTCCAACGCCAATGTTAAGACAACAAAGCAAATTCCGGGGGGGGGGGGGAGGAGGATCTAATCTCCCTAGCCACTCCCTGTCCCTGAAATTACAATCGATTCTGTGGCTCCAAAATAGTAGATTTTTTTTTTCATTTGACTAGATACATATTTTGTTTCTTGTGTTTAAATTGTTTCTTGTGTTTAAATTCTGTGTGTCCATTTGTCCGCAGAAACTTTAACCTTGCCCATTAGTTTTGAGTGGGATGGGCTATATACATGGCTTTCACATTTCATAGCTTACTTCCTTGTGACAAGCCCTTTTTTTTGGGTACCACGAATTTTGACCTCTTGACCTCTTGACATTGGATTTTTACCCATTTTTACAAGAAAAATACCAAACTTTAAACTTGGCCCAAATTTTGATCAGTAGGTGCTAGGGCTTTCATACTTAACATGTGTATTCATTGCGAACTTTCAACAGGTATAAATATGTTTGACCTTGACCCTAGAGTTTGACCCACTTAAAAAAAACAAAGTTTAACATTGGCAAATAAATTTTGAACAGGAAATACTAGGGATTTCTTATTTCACATGTGTATTCCTTGTGACAAAACTTTCTTATGATACCAACAATTTTAACTCTTTGACCTTGACCTTTGAGTTTGCCATACATTTGAGAAACTTCTACCTTAGCCATAAGCTGCCATGCAGGGGCATTAGTGTTTCACAAACACATCTTGTCTTCATTATTATTAATTGGTGGTGTCTCCATATGAGGAAAAAATTCCTGAGACGGATGTTTTCACAACAAACAAACAAATTACTAAAAAAAAAATATATAAAACATGATTAATGAATATGTTGGTCATATCTCTGCATGAAAAAAACTTTACAAATACTGCAACCATCGTAACCCTTTCAAAACACTCATTTTAGCTTTTCTGTTTTCCTTATCACATTATGTCTGTCGTCTATCTGTTTGTCTGGAAACATTTTACATTATTAACTTCTCTAGAACCACTGGACCAATTTTGACCAATTCACATAGAAATATGCGCATTTGTATGTCAGTCTGTCCATCTGTCTCAATTAATAAATTTAACCGTGGTCATCACGGTCATATCTATTGAATGAGAAGACACAAGGCATTCATGTTAAAATATGTATTAGTATTTACCTGTGAGAATGGCATATTTTTTTACCCATGACCTTGAAGTCTGACCTACTTGCAAAAAATTACATTGTTTTAAATTCATCATTTTGAAAGAGAAAAGTTAGGGCATTCATATTATACATGCATGTATATTATTACCTCCTGTGATAAGACCTTTCCAAATAAATCATGACTTTTGACTCTGTGACCTTGACCTACTTTTCAAAAATGTTGCATTTGCTTATAACTTTTGATTAACAAGAGATATGACTTTCACATTTGATGTGTACATTTAATGTATTTTATTACTCATAAAAATTAAGATACTTCCCAGCATGTCATGATTTTTCACCCCTTGATTTTGATGTTTTACCTAATTTTCAAAATATTTAATTCTCCTAAAAGATGATTAGGCTTCTTAGTAAAATGCAGGAGGAGTTCAGGGAAGATTGGGCTTTATGCATAAAAAACTTCATTTTTCAACCCCCATTTGACACTTGGGGCAAAATCAAAATTCCGAAACCTATCTGCACATCTACATGACACCAACAACCATCTCCAAAAAGATGATTAGGCTACTGAGTAAAATATAGGCGGAGTTCAGGGAAGATTGAGCTTTTTGTATGAAAAACGTCATTTTTCAACCCCCATTTGACCCCTGAGCAAAATCAAAATTCCGAAACCTATCTGCACATCTACATGACACCAACAACCATCTCCCAAAAGATGATTAGGCTACTGAGTAAAATATAGGCGGAGTTAAGGGAAGATTGAGCTTTTTGCATGAAAAACGTCATTTTTCAACCCCTATTTGACCCCTGGGGCAAAATCAAAATTCCGAAACCTTACTGCCTATTTACATGACACCGGCAAACATCTCCCAAAAGCTGATTAGGCTACTGAGTAAAATATAGGCGGAGTTCAGGGAAGATTGAGCTCTTTGCATAAAAACCTTCATTTTGTAACCCCCATTTGACCCCCCGGGGGGAAATCAAAATTCCGAAACCTTACAGCACATCTACATGACACCAACAACCATCTCTCTGAAGGTGATAAGGCTACTGTGTAAAATGTAGGAGAAGTTCAAGGAAGTCGGTGTTTTTTGCATAAAAACATCATTTTTCGACCCCCATTTGACCTCCCCCCGGGCAAAATCAAAATTCCGAAACCTTACTGCACATCTACAGGACACCACCAACCATCTCCAAAAAGATGATTAGGCTACTGTGTAAAATGTAGGAGAAGTTCAGGGAAGACTTGTTTTTTTGAATAGAAAACGTCATTTTTCGACCCCCATTTGATCCCAGGGCAAAATCTAATTCCTAAACCTTACTGCACACCTACATGACACCACCAACCATCTCCAAAAAATGATTAGGCTACTGTGTAAAGTTTAGGAGGAGTTCAGGGAAGAAAAGTGTGACAGACGGACGGACGGACGGATATGAGTAACAACAATATACCCGAACTTTCTTTAGAAAGTGCGGGTACAATTGATAAAATATGTAAAAATATTGATGATATTGATTTCAAAGAGATAAATAACTTCAAAAGTAGACAAATTTTGACTCATTTTTCATAAATATGACATCAAACATGCGTAATATCAACTTAACATAAGCAATTAGTAATGAAAAAAGATACAGAAATACACCTGGTAATGTTTCTGTTTTTTAAAATGATATTTTAAGTTGAAACAGAACATACTCCAAACATCGGCAAGGAAGGCAAATTTCAAAGTTTGGGTGGATGTTTAACCAGCCAAAAAGACGTGTTGGAGGCATATGGCCCCCATTTTTCAATGGTTATTTCACGTCCATCTTTGCAAACAAAGGAACCCTCCCTCCCCGGCTCCGACGCGCATGCCATCTCAGAAAGTTATCATCCTATCATATAAGAAATATGATAAATTCTATCGATAGAGAACATGCAATGCGAATCAACTTGGACAAAAAAAAAAAAAAAAAAAAAAAAAAAAAAAAAAAAAAGAAAAGAAAAGACAACAAATAGTGTACCTACCAACCACGCCTCCTGTCAGTGCCGCTGCATTACCTGTTTGTTTCTCCGGCTCCAAAACTATAACAATAAAGTAACATAAAAACATACTATTGACTGATAAATTGATGTAAAAGGGATTTAAAAAAAAAACCTCGTTTAAAGTGGGAATTTCGTAAATTCTTTGATCGTTAGAATCGACCTTGTTAGCAAATTTAAATCTAACATTGGGCCGTATTTTGGTTGATTTGTTTTATATCAATTGTCAGACCTCGTGTTTTTTTTTTAATAGTGAATTTTACTTCGAAAAGTCTACTTAATCAATACAAAAGGCACCTCACATATATATTCCACGTGAAGTTAAAATATAAAATTAAAAGGAACATATTCAAAGATTGGGTACATTTGAAAAAGTTCAAAGTGAATAAAATTAATTATTTCTTGAGGCATGAAGGTAAAGGTAGAAAACCATAGTTTTAATTCTCATTTTATCTGGATAAAATGAAGTTTTACTAAAATCAAAAACGTATGCATGAACCTATTTACATTTTATCCTATATCTTTAATATTATGTAAGACTGTGTAAAAACAATTTCTACAATTAATCTACATGCCATTGCATAAGCGGTTTTGAATTTCTGTTGGTAACTTTTTTTTCACATGTAATAATACTACAGGTATTTCATGTCTGTGGTATTTTGATGTTTACGAATATAGTAAACAAGTTATCTAGGAAAATTTGAATGCTAGTAAACTGTAGAATATATTTGATATTTTTTTTCAATTCCTCCATAAAACGAGTGTAATATGACGGTAAGGAACAGTTAAACATTAAAAATCGCAAACAATGGGCATCCAAAAACATCAAAGGTGGAATCATAAGCCATAGACGAATACTCATTATTGATAGGTCACACCCTGCCTGCGCTTCCTGTCACTTGCGTATACAACATGTATTCACTGGTTGCAACTATGACGACCTTAAAACCGATGAAAAGGTCTCCCGGAGAGACTTCTTAAACCTTGATATCCACCTTTCCTCTCCATTTTTACAAAATGCAAACTCTGCATGAAGGCCGAGTCAGTTTACTTATACATTCAGGGTTAGGGTCTTTAGTCCTTAGGAATATTCTTAAGTTCAAACTTTTTGCTGAGCAGGTTGAAATTTGACGAAACAAATTGCTCAGTGTGGTGCATCGTCAATTGCAACAAAAATCGCGATAGGGAGATTTTCCATTTCACATGAAAGTCATTTACAAACTTGCATCTTTGTTGCTTTTCAAGATTTAGAATAAATTATGCTAATCTATATTTTAAGAAAAAATTAACTACGACGTGCATTTGAGATCTCCGCTTTGTATCTAATTTGATTGTTGTACTATTTCTTTTCTTTTCTCTTCCATCGTACGCTTTGTGGAAGATGTAGAATGTATCACGCCTGTGATTATTTTTTCTAAATCACCCTTTTAAGGTTTCGTGAGTTCAAAATCAGTTTTGAACGCAGAACTTCCTTGTTTTCGTCAACCACACGCTTTGATTGATTGTATATATTATTTAACATGTCTCTCTAGAATTTTCCACCCATATGAAGACTTCACCAACTTATCGTCAGACACAAAGACAGACGCGCACAAGATTTATATACACAGCTCCTGAAGTATCGCTTGGCAAATTTTACATGTCGATAGCATGTTGAAAAATAAAATAACCAATTTTCAAAGAGGCGTTACAGAGAAAACCCATAGATAATTGATTGATCATATATTGTTTAAAGTCCCATGCAAAAAGTTTTCACTCCTATAGAGACATCACCTTAAGGGCTTCAAATTTAGACCTATACTGGGCAATCAGGATCATTGAGCAGTACAGTGAGGATTCCTTATCGTGCCAGCGCTTACTGTGACACGGGACCTACGTTTTCAGGTCATATCTAAAAGACCTGTGACTTTCACTTGTAATGTACATTTTTATCAGAAGATCACCAAGGAGGAATAATGCTGACCATTTGTATGTACAATTCACTTCTAATGCCGAGAGTTTGGCGAAGGAACAGTCACTACCTTTGTACACGTCTTAAGTTTGACGTGGTCCCTCGAGCGAGATTTGAAACTGGGCCTCCCGATTACGAAGCGAACGCTCTTACACTAGGCTACCGTGACCGGTGAAAAACATATAGGAACGGAAATATTTGGTAAAATACAATTTTTTTTAAAATTATAGACTGATTATAATACCAAATCATATTTAGCTGAAAACAGAGCGCAACTTATATATAAACGTGCATTTTATTGCCTTTTGTATACATGTGAATGAAAGCAAAAGTGATTACATTGATATTGCAACGGTATATTAAAAGTTGCGTCATGCACAGCTGAGAATCACTCAGCACATGCTTAAAATGTTAATACAATAGAAATTGAGCATGTAACTCAGCGAAGAAAATCCATACAAAAATAAAGCATATAATTGAAAATTTTTAGAAGTTTTATGCTTTCGAATCTTCCTGGTTTATAATAAACATTTTGGCCGTTTTTTTTTTTGTTTTGTTTTGGTTTTGTTTTTTTCTTCAAAATGCCTTCTACTTACTTGTTGTAAAGTTGAATTCTGACATTTCACTTTTGATAGGGTTTCTCTCATCGTCACCGTAGAGCGTATACAATCTGAGAATATAGGTGCTTCCTGGGTCCAAGTTAACCATTGTGAACCAGTCCGAACTCTTGTGTACTTTAAACAAGTTTTCATCTTTGCTATTAGCTAAAATAAACATTTTGTTTTTGCCTTATGACTGTCAAATTTATTAAACCGAACTATCCATACCACTTATACCGAAATTTATAGTAAAAAGAACAACAACCTTTTATATAGGTGAAATTGATGCCTTGTTGATTATAACAACTCGGTGCCTGGTTCCACATGATTTTCACCGATGTTGCACTTAATTTTTCTGCTACTCTTATGTCTGTAGGTCCAAAATCTATAAAAAATATTTATCATTATGAAAAAAGAAAAAAAAGTTAAGATATATAAAAAATATTTAAAATGATAAAACATGAATTTCTTTTTCTTTTTACTTACAATCATTGACACCTTTAAGTGTAGTTAGATTGGCTATCTGGAAAAATACAAGGAATGGTTATTTAAAATGAAGCTGCTATTTTAAAGTTGCTACAATGTTGTGATTTAAAGTGTTCTTTTAACCATTAATATAAAAAAATGCATTGTTTTTCCATTAGTTGATTCAAAACTGCACTGAGAGATTTGAAAACAAAGTTTACAATACAGTATTTTAAGTTTTTTAAAATGATGAAACTGGATATTTCTTTTTCATATTTGTTTGTACATCAAAGAGCGTTGATTTAGCTTTAAAATATACACAGGTAATATGAATTGAACAGTTGTTTACAAAAATTAAAATGAAAGTTACCTCTATTTGTCGAGTAACGTAGAGGCCTGCTGAATTATAAAAATCCATCTCCATTCTTACTACCTCGGTAGAAACGTTACTCACGTTCATGACATAACAGTTCTCAAAGTCAAGGTCAATAGTCTTGCTATATGTCTCATTAGTTGCTGAGATTGTTTCACAGGGATGTTTGTTGCAGTATCCTCGGTCCTTTTAGAAACAGAATGTGTTTGTAAAAACTGATACCCCCGCATGCAGTCCATTGCTAAAATTAAAGTTTCTCAAATCCAAGTGACTCCCAAGATTAAGAGATTAAAATTTTGGGTAAACTAGGGAAACCAGGGAAACACAATCCTCACAAGAATGAAATGGAGATAACGAACAGTATTCACTATAAAAGTCCATAAAACATACAAAATAAGAGCAGAACAAACATTTCAAAAATTGTAAACATCAGATCTGGGATCAGGTTTGAAAGGTAGAAAGCATATTTATTTTTCTGATAAGGAAAACAATACTTAAACCCGCCGTGTGCCTATTGTAATGATCAGGAAATATGCTTGAAAAAATTTGTCATCTAATTCAGTGTTTAAACAATGTGGACTAAAAATTACAATGTAGTATGAAAACTGTCCGTCAGCATTTGACTCAATGATAAATTGTAATTGCTGACAAAGTCATTGTATCGACCTTAGAACTTACGAAATGATGACTTAAAACAAGACTACTGATAATTTTGTTTCATCAACTTGCTTGTCAATAATTTACCCTGCTTTAGAAATTGTTATACGTAGAGCAAGCTCTTGCGTATCGAATCAACTCCGTATGCAGATGATGAAGGTATATTGAATATAAAGCGCTTCAAAATGATCAAGGTTACAAATTATATTTCAAGTAGGTCATCCTCCAAAGTCAATATTTAGAGGTCAAACCAATTTGTACTTAAATGCAGTAAAATTTAAGGTATACGTCTTATCATTCAAAAAAATGTTGATATATTAACAATCATTTCTTGAAAGGAAAACCAGACTCTTAGGTCAAGAGAAAAAGTTTAAATAACTGGAACTCAAGGGAAAGTAATGTCTAGCCTTTCGTGAATCATGTTAAAAAAACCACGATCAGTGTTTTAATGTCAAAACAGTTAAATTGTACTTTAGAGTATGTATTGTCACAGGAAATACAGGGTCTTTCAGAAACAACCATTTCAAAAATTGTATTTCTGAATCATATTCAACCAACAGTCAATCATTTTGAAACAAATCTACAAATGAACATCCTTTTACTTCCGAATTATTGTTATATTGAAATTTAAAGTATTTAGCATGATACATTTTTAGATTTTTTAAGCCATGAATTACAAAAACTTACTCTTTTTGGATTTTCAAATTCATAATCTTTATTATTTATGATCTTTCCTGTACTCTTTTCAATGAAGCGGTATTTGATTATCTTAACTCCACTGTGGGGATCCGAGGCTCCAATAACTTGTATGCTGAAAAATAAAAACAATAAATCTCTAACATTCTTAAGAGTCTTATTTTCTAAAGGTTTCGAAAAGTATCACTTCTAAAAGCTTGCCTGCTTCTATAATCCATTTTATCTGTCCCCACATTTCTTTGCAATGTTTGTGATTCCACTGACGGTTTCGATGAATCGTAATGTAGAACCAGACGCTCTTCGTTTGTTTTGCCAAGTACATCGTAGGCTTTAACCCAAACGATTAATGATCTGCCATCTTCCAATGGTGTGCCTAAATCAATTGTCTGTTCAGTTTCATTGTACTCAAGATTTTGAATCTGATATGTAGGTGCCAATTGTTGGTCTTTTCCATTGTAATAAGCCACGTCATATCTAACAATACCTCGTTCATTCGGTATAGCGTTTATTGTTCTCTCACCACTGTAGTCATCATATTTCTTCGGAATTATTTTGTAGCCATTACGATCTCCGCCATCTGCTAAGGAATCAGGAAAATGCTTGACACGATTTAAAAACTTTCCATTTTCATGTAAAGAATTTAAAAAGTGTTTTTTCCAAGTGATCTTTGCTGTCAAAGGATTTTGAGTTTGCCAGTTAAAGGATGCATTCGGATTTCCAGAGGACGCATACAATCTTTGGAGCTGTCTGTCGTCACAGTTGAAACTGGATCATAAATAACAATACGCCGAACATACACCGAGTTATTGGCTTTGTCATTTACTTCCAAAATCCAAGAATAAACGCCTGGGTTGTCTGGTCTATAGGAGAATGTATGGGACCCAATAGTGGTTTCGTTAAATTCGGTAATGTTTAAAGGTAGTGGATTATCTACGGTATCTGTGTATGGTTCTTTAAGTTCGCCATCTCCATCTGGTTCCAGCTTGAAAACTTCGAGAGCGTATCGAGCAACCTTTGATAAGTCGTCCCTCCACCCATTCCAAGTAAACTGGATAGCGGTCTGTTTTAAAACAATCTCTGTTTATACGATTTCTAATCTTCAGAAAATGTACTGTAATTTTCACGAGTATTTTTGCATAAATAATAAATATAATATTAAAGATGATTTACCTTTGTGACATCATTAGCAACCTTGAGCAAAAACGATGGTGTACCAATGCCACAGTTCTTCCTCTCTGTACAGTGATATGGATTTTCTGTGTCAAACTTGACATCTATCATTTTGTTAACTTCATGACCATTGAAATATTCTATCCCTTCATTATAATCAAGAACACGATATCCGCCATTCTTTGCACGATATGTGACGGCAAAACTAGAGAAAAGGTATTAAAACACTTTTTTATGGTTGTGCATGAATTTGCTATTCTCCTGAATTTTAAGCTGGATAGAAACCTAAAAAACACCCTGCAAATGTGAATTCAAGTACAGTCAGATCTACATTCAAAGACTTTAATCCGCGCCGTATCACTTCTTTGGACTTTAAAGATATAAAGTCTTTTTCGACTTCCAAGATGTAAAGGATTAATGAATTTTATGCTTTCGGGCAGTCTCTAAATATTAGCTATTAATGCAAACTATTTTAATTTAGCACTGTGGATAAAATTCATGTCTTCCCGAGTTACACCGCCATAACGTGCGTTTTGACAGATTCTATAAAAAGAGTTGCAGTAATTAATAAACCGGTGCATTTCAACTTTTAAGCAAACCAGCATATTCATTTTAGCAATAAACAGTGTGATAATAACAACTTAACTTGTGTAAAACTGTATACAACGTGTTTATCGCCCTTTTGCATTGAACAATTTTGTTTTTAAATAGATAAGAAATTACATGTTTTTCCCATAGAGTAGGGCGAAAGTGAAAATTAGACGGGGGTGAAAATTTTTGTAATATATTTCATACAGTTTTATTTTTTATATATCTTCGATTTCTAACCTGATTATACATACTCATAGTACTCATAGCACATTATCCACCTCGGCACCTGGCTCTGGGGCCATATACTTTAGACAAGTTTACTTTTGATCTTTGTCTCACTTTTACAGAAAAAATTATTAGTGAAATGAAAAGTAAGCCCATCTTAGTTTTATAGCCCCGCAGTCTGATCTTACTTCCATGTTTCTAGAGGAGGTTTTTTTTGTCTTGCCTTGTTCATGTTTTGCTTTATCTACTATACATGTACTTAACAAGCTCGTTTTACTACAGTTCCTCTAAATGGTATAGGGCAGAATCATGACTGTTTTAAAGTAAAAAGGTTAAAACATTAAGATATGAATTCATTCAACTTACGTATTGCGTAAATCAAATGGCGAACGCTGTTTACACTGAACAAGTCTGTCATGTATTGGACTATTCGTGGTCCATCACAAGGCAACCTGTTTTGCGTTTATTCCTTGTTTTTATAGCCATTTAGAAATTCTGTTACTAGACAACATTTGATTTTAAACGAAAGTGTTTTATTTTCGTTGCTTTAAAAGAGCAATTTCTGTTAGTTTGGACTTTCAGTAAGGTGTGGCAAAATGACGTACAAATTTGATGAAATTTCACAGCTTTCTGCCACTGTTGAAATATACATTTGGCTCGGGCAATTAGTATGTAACTATTTACGTCTCACCCTGCAAATAGTGAAGTTTGACGTCTCGATCGTTGTCAACAACAATTTAAAGTTCTCGATGTTATTTATTTCTTAACTAAGAGATTTAGCTCGCCATTTGACAGGCGGTTATAGCGCCAAGAAGCCACGCCTTACTGAAAGTTCAAACTAAGAGTGAAATATCTAATTATATATTTTTGAAAAATAATTCAGTAAATATGATAATCTTGTTGATTAAATGCATTTACATTTACCTCGACCATCAAATGCCGTATGTTTAACATTAATGTTTCTCAAATGCGTGTTACACATAACCAGGCCTTGCAGGTAAATTCAAAGTCGCAAATCGGAGCTAAAAATGGATTGAAAAGTGAAATTCATGATGTTAAGCTTCGACGATTATCCAGTATATATCCTTATTCCCATTGCTCAAGACTGAATCTACTGAAAGAAATAATGTTTTTCGCTGTAATGTCCAAAGTCTATTGTACTTTGTTCGATTGCTGGATAGTAGTGTCAAACTGGGGACTGTATGTAAATATAAAATCAAATAAGAAGATAATTTTAACATTTTTAGAGAACATGTATGTTATTCCATCTTCAGCTTAACAATAAAAGAAAAATTTTCAAATTGAAAAGACAAGAATTCTTTTATTGTATACTTACAGTTAAGGCAGTTTCCTTTCCCAGTCAAAGTTTTGTGGGGAGAAATCAAGCAAATGTGTTATCTCCCCTGCAGTATCCAGGAAAACAAGGTCGAAAGCGAGAGCAGGAGCCAACTGGAAAATAAGAATTACTATTGTCAGTGTTTATCTCTATGTACACAGAGAAATAAACAATCAGTCTTATAGCTTTTTATTTGATAATGAAAAGCTTTAAGATAATTATAACAAGGGCACCGCTAAGCGGAGCATCCCCTCGCGACAGGAACTTCAGTGGTAATGGCAATATCTCATAAGAGATAAATTCTCTTGAGGGACGTTAAACATGTTAAAAAATATACAATGTATTTTGTTTAATGTCCCTCTCAGGAATTTTTAAATTGAAGGCTTTACCGGAGATGACATTCTTTCCTGATAATAAGGAACTGAAACCATTGAGCAGTGAGGGATCTTTTTGTGCCAGCATCTATTGGGACATGGGCCCTTTATTTTTGTAAGGATAAGACGTCCCAAAAGGTCAAACCCGCAACATTAGGATCACTCCCTTACTTTTGACAAAATTAAATAAACATGTTTTTACCTCGACCATCAAGCGCCTTATGTTCAAAATGCAAAGTGCATAGCGTCTTGGCTAAGGGGGAGGGGGGGGGGGGTAACATTGATACCTAATTTGGGGTAGTAAAGTTTAATATAATATAATAAATTGTTTTTCAGCACTATGTATTTTTAAACAAAATTATCGGGGTGGAGGATGTTTTTTTTAACAAAATTCAAATTTCAAAGCATTTTAGTGGGAAGCGGGAAGGCATAATGTGCATACGTAATTGGGCAGTTGCCCTTATGCCTAGCAGAATTATAACACGTATGCTGTATGTATGTTTCAGTAATTTTAATTATTTACCTACCTAAGTATATCTCACGGTTGCAGGCAATATGCGTTTTAATTTCGCAGTGAAAAATAACAATGTACATTTGTACATCAAGAGAATAACTGAACTTGTAGATTGTATTTACAGCTTTCAGGAATAACTGCACCAATTCCTAGACACTGTTGGAATTTGTAATCATAAAACTGCGACGTTCATCAAAGTGTTTAAATCTGGTTCCCGCAGACTCAACACGCCTTTTAAACTTTAAAGCCGACTCTTTAACTGGTTCCTAGGGGAAATGATCATTGTCGAACTCGTACATAAAATGTCAGGGTTTCGAGACAGTGAAAACGCGATATCTGAAGAAATATTTCATCAATGAACTTGAAAATGAATAGGCTTCGTCCTTTTATACTGCCACACAAGTATTTAAACGCTGAGAATGGTTAATGCAAAAGTTCTTTGTCAATCTTGCCCACAAATGATTATTGTCAACTCGTACATAAAATGTCAGGGTTTCGAGGCAGTAAACACGCGATATCTGAAGAAATATTTCATCAATGAACTTGAAAATAAATAGGCTTCGTTCTTTTATACTGCCACACAAGTATGTAAACACTGAGAATGGATAATGCAAGGGTTTTCTGTTAATCTTGCCCACAAGCTGTATCGAACACACTAACACACACACACATATGCACATTGGCTATATTTCTACGCAACTAGTAAAATGATATGGATAAAGATGCAAAAAAGTGTATAAGATAAACAAAATTAAAAGGGCAGATATTAGGACTGTTCTAGCACAGTTATTTTGAATACATATTTTTAGAATTATCAATTAAAGTAAGCTCTGGTAACCCTCACCCGAGAGACAGTATTCTCCTACATATCCTTGGTTACATTTACATTTGCCGGGGGTCTCACATTTTCCTCTCACACTTCCTCCGCAATCATAGGGACAAATTGCTAAACATTAAAAAGAATTTGTCAGGTAAGTCTGTCATATCGTTCTTGTGACCAATGATGGCATAAATCAAGAAAACTCTGATTGAACTTTCTTGAAAACAGGAAAATGTTAACTTTCCAATACGTGCCTATATTACAGATCTGGTTCCCGTTATGTCTCCAACCAGAACAACAGTAGTATTCCCTCTCTTCATATTCCTGACTTATCATGCCCCAGGCGCAACAGCTGATATGAAAGATGGAAAATATTTTTTTTTAAATATACTTTTTTGACATTTATAAATTGCTACGATTAAACCAGATACAGATATATGTAAAGGAATAAAAAAATCAAAATTGTATCTTTTTTTTCTTGAAAGTAAACGCTTTAGTTGGACCTCTAATTCTATCTGTTCCAAAAAATAGAATTTTGTTTCTTAAACTTAAAAAATAGTTATTGAGGTTCCATAATAACAAAAAGACTCCTGGTTTATTTGAGTGAAGCAGGTCACGCGTAAGGAAAAGTTTTCTTCAAAGAGAAAAATCTTGATCGAATGTTAGAAATAATTGCATAATAATAAAACCCAACCTAGTGTTTTAACTCCATATATTTTCTTAATATAAAGCAATTGTTCTCGAAAGAGCTTTACATTCATGAGATTCTTGAAAAAACCCAGCGAATTAAGCACAAAAGATAGTGATTGTTTTACTTTATTTCTCAATGTCCCATTCGAGAATTTCAGGCTTCACATTTTGACCTTTACTCGGCATTCAGGGCAATTGAGCAGTGAGGGTTCTATATCGTGCCACGAGCAACGTTTCGAAGGTCATACCGGAAAGACCCGTGACTTCCACCCACTTCTAGTACCGCGTGCTTGGAGAAGAAACAGTCAATACCTAATATGTTTACTTCTTAGGTTTGACGCTGCGCAGCGAACGAGAATCATATCCGGGTGTCCCGATCACGAAGCGAACGCTCTACCACTAGGCTGTCGATCGGTTAAGACATAGTGTATTATTGGAAATGTGTACGATATGCTTGATACATGTATTTGAATATTTTATCATCAAAGTCCATAATAGTCATGTGTTCAAAAAACACTTAACACCTACGGAATATATAATTTAATATTCACGACCATAAACGCACCCTCTTTCGCTCACACATACACACAGAGATATACATAAAGAATTACCCCTGCCAGGTACTGTATCTGCATCCCCAGACCCAGCGACACTTCCATCGGGATCTGGAGCATTTGTTTCTAAAATGATAAAATAAAAGAAAAACGTTTTGTTAAAAAAATAACACCAAACGGACAGACAGACAGACGAATGAGATTTAATGTCCCCTCGCTTTCGCGAAAGCGGGGGACAATAAATTCTTTAATAGACAATTTCCCAGTCCCGATAATAAACCCAACTGCTCGAATACTTACCCTTGATCACCATGTATGTATAGCTTATAGTCTTTTCTGTTTGTCGCCATGTTCGTTGGTCAATCAAACACTTCTTCCACCGGATAACAATTCATCTTTGGACTTCTTTTACAATGTGTTAAACAGTGATCGATACATGTGTTTGTGCCGTTTTTTCGTCCAAAGCTCTTTTTATGCGCCCGGATCGAAAGATCCGAGGCATATATTGTTTTTGTCTTGTCTGTCTGTCTGTTTGGCTGTTTGTCTGCAAACTTTAATCTTTGCCATAACTTTTAAACAATGAATAGTTTAGACTTCATATTTGGTATGCATACCCCACTAATTAAGGTCTTTCAAATGACATCAAGATCAATGACCTTGTGATCTTGAATGTGACCTGTATGCTAAAAATAGTTTTTTTCTGCAAACTTTACCATTGGCCATAACTTTTGAGCCATAAAGGATAGAGACTTCATATTTGGTATGCATTACATCACTTATTTAATAAGTTCTTTTAAATGACACCATGGTCAATGAACTTGTGACCTTGTACGCTAAATTTAGCTTTTTGTCGGAAAACTTTAACCTTCACCATAACGTTTGAATGAAGAAAGATAGAGAACTTAATATTTGGCATGTATACTCCACTAAATAAGCCCTTCCACATGACCTTGTGACCTTGACTGTGTCCTTTATGCTAAATATACTTTTTTGTATCCCCTCACGCAACTAGTTGCGGAGGGGATATAGCATCGCGAATGTGCGTATGTATGTGTGTGTGTTAGTGTGTTCGTTACACCTTGTGGGCAAGATTGACAGAAAACCTTTGCATTAACCATTCTCAGCGTTTACATACTTGCGTGGCAGTACGAAAGGACGAAGCCTTTTCACTTTCAGGTTCATTCATAGAATATTTCTTCAGATATCGCATTTTTACTGCCTCGAAACCCTGACATTTTATGTACGAGTTCACAATAATCATTTGTGGGCAAGATTGACAGAGAACCGTTGCCTTAACCACTCTCAGCGTTTACCTACTTCTGTGACAGTATAAAAAGATAAAGCCTATTCATTTTCAAGTTTATTGTTGAAATATTTCTTCAGATATCGCATTTTCATTGTCTCGAAACCCTGACATTTCATGTACGAGTTGACAATAATCATTTCCGCTAGGGAACCAGTTTAAGAGCCAGTTTTAAAGTTTAAAAGGCATGTCGAGTCTGCAGGAATCAGGTTAAAAGAATTTGATGAACGTCGCGGTTTGCCTTTCATTACCAATTTTCAACAGGTGTCTAGGAATATGGGGTGCGTGCACGCTATTCCTGAAAGCTGTAAATACAATCCACAAGTTCAATTAACCTCTCGATGTACATATGTACATTATTTTAATTACGAAAAAAATGCACATTGCCTGGAACTGTGAGATATACCTAAGTAGGTAAATAATTAAAATTACTGAAACTTATACATATAGCATACGTGATATGTTTCTGCTAGGTATAAGGGAAACTGTCCAATTACGTATGCATGCATATTATCCCCCCTTCCCCACTGAAATGCTATGCAATTTGATTTTTGTTAAAAATAGACATCCTCCACCACCAATAATTTTGTTTAAGAAATAAATAGTGCTGAAAAACAATTTAATATCTTATATTAAACTTTACTACCCCAAATTAGGTATCCCCGTTATGCCCCCCCAACCAAGACGCTATGCACTTTGCATTTTGTAAAAAAAAAAAATGGATCAACAACACAATGATTTTGTCCAAAGGAAGGGAGTTGATCCAAATGTTGCGGGTTTGAATCCTTTGTGGGACGTGGAGACTGGTCCTTCGAATGAGACCGTTTAAACCACGGGTCCATGTCCCAATAGATGCTGGCACAAAAAGATCCCTCACTGCTCAATTGTCGTCAGTTCTTATTATAGGAAAGAATCCCCTGCAGCCTTCTGAGCTAAAAACTGGACATTAAACAAAATACATTGTACTATCAATCTTTAACATATGAGAATTAATCCAAAAATTACCACTGAAGAGGGACAGCGGTGCCCTTGTTATAATTATCTTAAATCTTTTCATTATCAAATAAAAAGCTATAAGACTGATTGTTTATTTCTCTGTGTCATAGAGATAAACACTGACTTTATTTTCCACATGTTAACACCTGCCAGTGCTTGAACAATTTCTCCCCACAAAACTCAACTGGGAAAGGAAACTGCCTTAACTGTGAGTATACATATACAAAGAATTCTTCCTACAGTCATTCAATTTGTAAGAATTTTTCTTTTATTGTTAAGCTAAAGATGGAATAACATACATGTTCTCTACTAGAACAATGTTAAAATTATCTTCTTATTTGATTTTATATTTACATACAGTTCCCAGCCGTCCTGACTACTACTATCCAGCAATCGAACAAAGTACAATAGACTTTGGACAATACAGTCAGACGAAAAACATGCTAATGTTCAACATGACAGTAGATTCAGCTATGAGCAATGGGAATAAGGAGGTTTTCTGGACTAATCGTCAGAAGCTTAACATCATGAATTTCACTTTTCAATCCATTTTTAGCTCCGATACTTTGAATTTACCTGCAAAGCCTGGTTATGTGGTTCAACACGACTTCGGAATCGTAGAAGCAAACATTAATGTTAAACATACGGCATTTGATGGTCGAGGTAAATGTAAATGCGTTTATTTAATCATACTGAAGATGGGGGACTGCAAATTTACAACTTATGTTTTCAAAAATATATAATTAGAACCATTTCACTCTTAGTTTGAACTTTCAGTAAGGCGTGGCATTCTTGGCGCTACATGTTTACCGCCTGTCAAATGGCGAATAGACTCTCATTAGTTAAGAAATAAATAACATCGAGAACTTTAAATTGTTGTTGACAACGATGAGACGACTTAAACTTCACCTATTTGCAGGGTGAGATAATGTAAATAGTTATTCGACATACTAATTGACATTTTCCCGAATTTCTTAACCAAATGTATATTTCAACAGTGGCAGAAAGCTGTGTAAATTTCAGAAGCTAATTATGTAACGTCGAGAATGCCACACCTTACTGAAAGTCCAAACTAACGGAGAAATTGCTCTTTTAAAGCAACGGATTCTATCAGCCCTAAAACACTTTCGTTTAAAATCAAATGTTGTCTAGTAACAGAATTTCTAAATGGCTAGGCAAATTGTAATTACTGCTTTTTAATTCCTTATTAGTAAAGTACAGTAACAGGTTGCCTTGTGATGGAGTCAGCAGAGATAGTCCAATACATGACAGACTTGTTCAGTGTAAACAGCGTATCGCTCCATTTGATTTACGGTTTGACTCGGGTGATACGTAAGTTGAATGAATTCACTATCTTAATGTTTTAACCTTTTTACTTTAAAACAGTCATATTCTCAAACAACCCTATACCATTTAGAGGAACTGTAGTAAAACGAATAGGTTGTTAAGTACATGTATAGTAGATAAAGCAAAACATGAACAAGGCAAGACAAAACAAGACCTCCTCTAGAAACATATTGGGTTGGATCTGATCTGGCTCCGGGGCTATAAAACTTACATAGACTTACTTTTCAATTCAGTCTCTTTTCCACTATTGATTTCTTTATGTAAAAGTGAGACAAAGATCAAAAGTGAGCTTGTCAAGGTTTAATGGCCCTAAAGCTATGTCCCGAGGAGGATAATGTATCACTAATCGAACGCAGTCGTACCCGATATGAGTCCATTGTATAATCAGGTAGTACGGAAAAGAAATCGAAGATGTATGAAAAAATAAAACTGTATGAAATATATTACTGTATACAGGGAAATTTTCACCCCCGTCTAATTTTCGCCACTTTCGCCCTCTTCTTGACTGGGAGAATTTAAAACGGGGCGAATTCAAATTACACAGCATAATTCCTTAAACAGAATCTATGAATGGGCGAATTAGAAACGGTACAAAATTGTTCGCAAGTGCAAAAGGGCGATATAACACGGGGCGAAAATAACCATGTATACAGTAGTTAAACATCACCCAATAATAAGTTGTATTATCACACTAGTTTATTGCTAAAATGACCGTATAATATGCTGGTTTGCTTAAAAGTTGAGTTGTACAGGTTTATTTATCGATACAAGTTTCGTTTATAAAAGGTAATCTGTCAAAAGGCATGTGATACAGTGTTACTCGGGAATGACTGAAATTCATCCCATTAATCCTTAAATGCTTCAATCCTTAAAACACAATGCTAAATTGAGAAAGTTTGTATTGATTACTAATATTTAGAGACTGTCCTAAAGCATAAAATTCATTAATCCTTTACATCTTGGAAGTCGAAAGAAATGACTGTTTTCAATCTAATTAAAATCAGACTTCTTAGATCGAAAACAGTCATTTCTTTCGACTTACGCAGAGTGTATACGGCGCGGATCTAAGAAGTCTGATTTTAATTAGATTGTGACTGTTTTGAATGTACCGTGTACTATTAGCATTGTGCTTTTGAGATTTCTATCCGGCTAAAAAAATTCGAAGAATAGCAAATTCAAGTACACCAGAAAAAGTGTTTTTCATACCTTTTCTTTAGTTTTGCCGCCATATACAGTGCAAAGAATGGAGGATATCGTATTCTGGCTTCTAATGAAGGAACTGAATATTTCAATGGTCATGAAGTTAACAAATCGATAGAAGTCAAGTTTGACAGGGAAAGTCCATATCATTGTACCAGTGAGAGTGACTGTATTAATACACCATCATACATGCTCAAGGTTGCTGATGATTTCACAAAGGTAAATCATATATAATATAATATTTAATATTTATGCAAAGTTACTCGTGAAAATTACAGTACATCCTCTGAAGCAGAAAGCACAAATTTTCAATATTTTTACTACAGACCGCTATCCAGTTTACTTGGAATGGCTGGAGGGACAAGTTATCAAAGGTTGCTCGATACGCTCTAGAGGTTTTCAAGCTGGAACCAGATGGAACAGGCGCCCTTAAAGAGCCGTACACAGATACAGTAGATAATCCAGTACCTTTAAACATAACTGAATTCAACGAAACTTCTTCTGGGAAACATAAATTTTCCTATAGACCAGACAAACCAGGCGTTTATTCTTGGATTTTGGAAGTAAATGACAAAGCCAATAACTCGGTGTATGTTAGGCGTATTGTTATTTATGATCCAGTTTCAGCTGTGACAATAGACAGCTCGCAAAGATTGTATGCGTCCTCTGGTAATCCGAATGCATCTTTTAACTGGCAAACGCATAATCCTTTGACAACAAAAGTAACTTGGAAAAAACATTTTTTGAATTCTTTGCATGAAAATGGAAAGTTTTTGAATCGTGTCAAGCGTTTTCCTGATTCTCTTTATGATGGGGGCTCTCGTAATGGCTACAAAAGAATTCCACCGGAATATGACGACTACAATGGTGAGAGGACAATAAACGCTATACCGAATGAACGCGGGATTGTTAAATACGACGTTGCTTATTACAATGGAAAAGACCAACAAATTGCACCACAATATCAGTTTAGAAATCTTTCTTTCAATGAAACTGAACGTACAATCAATTTACTCACAGCTTTAGAAGATGGCAAATCATTAAGCGTGTGGGTTAAAGCGTATGATGTACTTGGTAATACAAACGAAGAACGTCTGGTTTTACATTACGATTCTTCCAAACCGTCCGTGGAATCGCGAAATCTTGAATTGAAAAGAAATGTGGGGATTGATAAAATGGATTATAGAAGCAGGCAAGATTTAAGAAATGATACGTTTTGAAATCTTTTAATTATGAATTTGTTAATATGGTTTCCTCAAGAATGTTAGAAATTTACAGTATTTTTTTTTTTGGCAGAATACATGTAATTGGAGCCACGGATCCTCATAGTGGAGTTAAGACCATCAAATACCGATTTATTGCTAAAAGTACAGGGAAGATAATAAATAATAAAGAATATGAATATGAAAATCCAAAAAGAGTAAGTTTTTTTGTGATTCATCAATTCAAAAAAATCTAGAACTGCATTATATTAAATGTTTTTTATTTCATCAATTTAACGTCATATTTGGGAGTGAGGATCTAGATTTTACTAGAATTTTTACATTTACTCTACGTTTTGGAATAGGAATAGGAAAGAGGACAAATGTATTTAATCGGTGTTTTTCGTCAATCTGTAGGTCTGTGTGTCTACATCTATCTGTCACTATGATTGTTCGATTAACTGTGTCCAAAACTTTAGATTGCTTAAAGCTAGGACTTCCACATTTCACCTTTTTGTATTTTTACATGGCTTTCCTAAAGCTATGAAATTACTTTTTATTAAATCCTTACGTTTGATTTACTTTGGTAGAATTTTACCAAATTCAACTTTGATAATAACTCTTGATAGTTTTAATGGTTTAGCTATCAAAACTGGGTGTTTCAAAAACATGCAGCCATTTACTTCCTTTACTTTGTTGATATGCAAAGAAAAATCTCATTAAAATTTCATAACAATTTATATGCAAAAGAATATAGAATATAAATTTATTACTTATCATTTGAAAGACATAGTGTATAAAATAGGACCCCAGACTACAGCGGACATTAAGGTTCATTGATACTCTGATAAGAGAGATAACTCTTAATGGCATAAATGCTTATTATTCCTTTATAGATTTGCCAAGCTGAAGTGTCTTTTTTCTCAAATTTTGTCCCGCAAGCTATGCTATAATTGTTATTATTTTATTTATAAAATACCTTTCTTTTGGAAAATCATTAAGTAACATTTATATAAGTGAGCAGAGGGTTGATGTACCTAAATCCAGAAATGGTCGAATATTTAAAGACTGATTGCAAAGAAATCGTGCGCTATGGTGATGAGAAATTTCCTGCATTAGATATTGAACAAATTTCAACAAAAGGAACACCATTTCAAGCATATTTTGAAAAAACAAAATTTTACGACCTACTAATAATTCGTTTGTAACTCATTGTTTGTTTAAGTAATTGTTTTCCTTATCAGAAAAATAAATATTGAATTTATACCTTTCAAATTGATTGGCAGATGGCTTATACAATTTTTGAAATGATTGCATGTTTCCTTAAAGACCCTGTATTTCTTATGACAATACATTGAAATACAATTTAGCTGTTTTGACATTTTAACAATGATCTTGGTTTTTTATAACATGATGCATAAAAGTTTCATTAATGTACCCTATATTTTAATATCTTAATCTTGGAAGTTACTTGGATTTGAGACGCTTTAAATTTATCAATGGACTGCATGCAGGGTCATCCGTTTTCACAAACACATTCTGTTTCTTAAAGGACTCAATCTATTGCAACTTACATCCCTGTGACGAAAATTTACCGACTGGTGAGTCATTCGGCAAGACTATTGACCTTGACTTTGAGAACTGCTATGCCATGAACGTGAGTGACGTTTCTACCGAGGTAGTAAGAATGGAGATGGATTTTTATAATTCAGCAGGGCTCTATGTTACTCGACATATTGAGGTAACTCTCGATTTTATAATTGTTACCAACTGTATTATTTGAATTATCTGTTTAAATTTTAAAGCTTAAACAACGCTCTTTAATGTACAAATAAATATGAAATAAAAAATTCCAGTTTTCTGTTTCATACTTAAAATACTGTATTGTTAACTTTGTTTTCAAAATTTTCAGTGCAATTTCGTAATTACTAATGAAATAACAATGCGTAATATTTTTTATATTGGTGGTTAGATAAACACTTTGATTTACAATATTGTAGCAAAGTTGAAATAGTGGCTACTGTTGAAATAACCATTCCTAATATTTTCCAGATAGCCAATCTCAAGTCACTTAAAGGTGTCAATGATTGTAAGTAAAAAGAAAAAGAAAGTCATGTTTTATGACGATTTTATAAGGATTCTAATATATCTTAACTTTTGTTTTCTTTATTCATAATGATAAATATTTTTTTATAGATTTTGGGCCAACAGATATAAGAGTCGCAGAAACATTGAGTGCAACATCGGTGAAAATCATGTGGAACCAGGCACCGAGTTGTTATAATCAACAGGGCATCGATTTAACCTACAGAAAAGGTGTTTGTTCTTTTTACTATAAATTTCGGTATAAGTGGTATGGGTAGTTTGGTATAATAAATTTGACATCCATAGGGCAAAATCAAATTGTTTATTTTAGCTCATAGCAAAGATGAAAACTTGTTTAAAGTACACAAGAGTTCGGACTGGTTCACAATGGTTAACTTGGACCTTTAAGTTTGTGAGATTGGCTATCTGGAAAAAAAAAATTTTTTTTCAATAAAACCACTTTTTAAAAGTTGCTCAATGTTGAAATTTTAAAATTTTTTTTTTAACCACTTTAAAAAAAAAATTCCCAAATTGTTTTTTTATTGGTTTGGAAACTGGCTAAAAAATTTGAAAACAAAGTTTACAATGCAGAATTTTAAGTTTCAAACATAAAACTGTAATTTTATATTCCATATTTGTTTATACATTAAAGAGCGTTGATTAAGCTTTAAAATTTACACAGATAGTTTAATTAATGCAGCTCTTTACAAATATAAAAATGTAAGTTACCTCTAAATGTTCAGTAACGTAGAGCCCTGCTGAATTATAAAAATCCATCTCCATTCTTACTACCTCGGTAGAAACGTTACTCACGTTCATGGCATAACAGTTCTCAAAGTGAAAGTCAATAGTCCTGCCGTATGACTCACCAGTCGGTAAATTTGTGTCACAGGGATGTAAGTTGCAGTAGCTTGAGTCCTTAAAGAAACAGAATGTGTTTATGAAAACTGATTCCCTCGCATGCAGTCCATTGTTAACATTAAAGCTTCTCAAGGCCAAGAGACTCCCAAGATTAAAAGATTAAAATTATGGGTATACCAGAAAAGCAAGGGAAACTATGGAAACACTAAAAAAAAGGCCCATTCAAAACAATTGTAAAGGTAACAGGTTATACGTAATGACGAATGCAATATTTTGCTATCAATAAAATCATATGCCTTTTGAGTATAATTTGGTCTGACATTAAGGAAAGTAAATAGTTGACTCTATTCTGAAACACCCTTTATGATAGCCCTACCATTACCCGTTCAAAAGTTATTATCAAAGGTGAGTGTTCTGTAAAACTCTAACCAAAAAAATCAAACGTAACGCTTAGGTTAAAAAATAAAAATTTGTTCATAGCATAAGAAAAAAAAAATATGCCCTAAAATCTCCGATTGGAATAAAATACGTTTGTCGTCTTTCTTATTCTTTTTCCAGATTGTGAGGTAAATGTCCGTAAAACACATCATCAATGCCATATATTTTTTTATCATCATTTATCATACTCAGGGCCATTAAATCATTTACACCAAGTTATAAGTAAACCATATTTATTTTTTGTAAAAAGGGCAACAATTGCAAGGGATTTACATTTACTTTAAACATATAAATGAACATCCTCTAGATCCTCATTTCCGGATATGACATTATATGGCTGAAATTTTAATAATAAAATATGATGATTTTGCGTTATTACATTCTGCGTTGATTTCGACGCAAAATGTTATAACGCAAAATGTAATAATCAAGGTTTATTACATTTCGCGTTGTTATTACATTTCGCGTTGTAACAATGCAGTTTTAGTTTTTTTTCAAGCGATGAATCACAAAAACTTACTCTTTTTGGATTTTCATATTCATATTCTTTATTATTTATTATCTTTCCTGTACTCTTTTCAATGAATCGATATTTAATGCTCTTAACTCCACTGTGAGGATCAGTGGCTCCAATTACATGAATTCTGAAAAAAGAAGAAAACCAAAAAATCTCTTACATTTTTTAGGAAATAATATTAACAGATTTATAATTAAAAATATTTTTTTAAAGTTTCAAAAAGTATCATTTCTTAATTCTTGCCTGCTTCTATAATCCATTTTATCTGTCCCCACATTTCTTTCCAATGTTTGTGATTGCACTGAAGGTTTGGATGAATCGTAGTGTAGAACAAGGCGCTCTTCCTTAGTGTTACCAAGAACATCATAAGCTTTAACCCAAACGCTTAATGATCTGCCATCTTCTAACGCTGTGCCTAAAGTGATAGTTTGTTCAGTTTCATTGAACTGAAGATTTCGGATCTGGTATGCAGGTGCCACTTGTTGTTCTTTTCCATTGTAATAAGCCACCTCGTATTTAACAATCCCGCGTTCATTTGGTATAGCATTTATTGATCTCTCACCAATCTTGTCGTCATATTCCGGTGGAATTTTTTTGTAGCCATTACGATACCCGCCGTCATCTAAGGAATCAGGAAAATGCTTGACACGATTTAAAAACTTCCCATTTTCATGTAAAGAATTTAAAAAGTGTCCTTTCCAAGTAATTTTTGCTGTCAAAGGGTTATGATTTTGCCATTCAAACGATGCAATCGGATTTCCAGAGGACGCATATAGTCTCTTGGAACTGTCTGTCGTGACAGTTGAAACTGGATCATAAATAACAATACGCCGAACATACACCGAGTTATTGGCTTTGTCATTTACTTCCAAAATCCAAGAATAAACGCCTGGTTTGTCTGGTCTATAGGAGAATGTATGGACCCCTGAAGAGGTTTCGTTGAATTCAGTAATGTTTAAAGGTACTGGATTATCTACTGTGTCTGTGTATGGCTCTTTAAGGTCGCCTAATCCATCGGGTTCCAGCTTGAACACTTCCAGAGCGTATCGAGCAACCTTTGATAACGCGTCCCTCCATCCATTCCAAGTAAATTGGATAGCCGTCTGTTATAAAACAACATTAAATATGTGCTTTCTGTTTGAACGATTTCTAATCTTCAGAAGATGTTCTGTAATTTTCACGAGTAACTTTGTACAAAATATGTAATATAAGATTATATATGATTTACCTTTGTGACATCATCTGCAACCTTGAGCATAAACGATGGTGTATTAATA